ATGAAAGACTTGCCCTCCTCCACAGACACCCTCTCCATAAACATACTTAAAATGAGGCTTCACCTTATCTAGGGCAGAGAAAGTCAATCATGGAAGACTAACCCACTTCTTAACCTGGAGCTCACAGTCACCATCTCCCGGGCTGAAGCACATGGAAAGGAAATTTTTTAGCAGTGCTGGGTATCACTGGTAAAGAGAAGTATCTCAAATAGAGCCGTGAGCAGCTGACCAAGGCTGTGTCTCTCCTTTCTCCCTCAGTAAGCAGTAGGGCCATTTAAAACTAGAATGTTTGCATTTACCAAACATGAGCATGCAGAGTTACAAATCAAAAGCTGCACCAAAAATGTTATTTGTGAAAGACTAAAAAGAACATTTCTGAACTGGTAAACGAATTACACTAATACAATCTCTACCTCTTTCATTAAGGAAAGGCATCCAGTTCTGCCCCTGAAGTCATGCTCATAAAATGGAGGGTTTATTACAAAAATACTAACGCCGTGTTATCTACTGTAATGCTCTAATAAATAATGATGCATCATGCCAGAAGGGTCTCATTGGAAACAGATGGTCTAAGGAATGGAAACATAAGCAGAGTGTTTTACTGCAATCACTATCCAGGAAACAAACAGAGATTTGATACTATTGCCTCAAGAACAGCTCCCTCCCAACCCTTTTGTCTTAGCTATCAGTAAGCCTTGATTTTGCTAACAAACTGTCAGTGTCAGCAATAATGGCAGCACTCTGCTTGCAAACCATTTTAGGTGCTGAGATGCACAGCACTACACAATTCAGGGGATTTCTACTTTTAACAATCCATTCATATTTAACAAAAACTACAGAGGCAAAACTCCAGTATCCCCTTGTTCTTTCCTACCTCTGTCCAGAGCTGGTTCCCAGCATCCCTGTGTTCCTTCAGAACTATCACCCTAGGGATGAGCTCGACACAGGCTGTCTATACCCTGCTGTTCTTCTTTTGGAAGCAAGCTTTTACATGCAGCGTGTTCACATACAGGCCCCACTGAGGCTGTGTAGGGAAAAAAGTAGATGAAATAACTTTTAGATGAAGTGGTTCTATCTAACCACAGGTCTGGAGAACCCACATCCATGCCTTTCTCTGCTGGTGACATGGCAGCAGTAGCAGCTGCAGCCGGGAGCCATTCCCCCCAGCAGCAGCCCCGTGTCAGGCAGGGAGGCCCAGGCAAAGCAAAGCATTTGCTCAGAGCCATCTGCCATTAAGCACGCTGATCACCCTGATAAGGGATCGTGTACCTGATTGCCCCAAGCAACTCAGCTTTTTCCTGCCTACTTACTGAAGCAGGTGTACAGGATACAATACAATAATAATAATAATTAAAGTTGCTGAGCAGAATTACAGTAAAATTCGTATTCTCGGCATTGTGCCAATGCTTAAAAAAACTGCACTTGCAGGAGAAACCGTGACCTTATTATGCGTTCATTAGGCTTATACCTCCAGGGAGAATACCAGAGGAATGTTGCATTTGTCTTAATGACAGTATGTCTCAAGGCAAATGGGCGTAACGTACATCCGTGTGGCTGCTGTGACACAGACACAGCCCTTCCTCTGCTCACTGAGACGAGCACGACATCGGATGGAGCCAGGGCCATCTCCTGACAGTGTGGCCGAGAGCCAGCAGTTCCAAATAAGAGGAGTTAGTGCAGTTCATATTTGTTCAGGGTTTATTTTTACCTGAATGCAAAACACAAAAGTCAGTAATGAGTCACATCGGTTACAAGAGCTCAGCACCTGCAGCAGTGAAGCTGAATCCTGTGGCGCTATTTCAAACTTGACTAAGCGTAGTTGAGATCTGTCTGTCCTACAGCACGACAGCCCCACTCCCGCCCCAGATCTGCCACCTGGGAGCAGCACATATTGATGCTATTTCAGCTGAGGTGCTTGGTTCTCACTGAATCAAGGAGAAAATCATGGGGAGCATCTTCCTGTATTACAAGTAGTACTACACGTCGCTTTTCTGCCTCCTTCCCAGCACTAATAAGCACAAGACCTAATTATCCCCATTTATAAATAACTTTCTTCATCCTATCTCTGTCCAACAATGTTCTGGCAGACACCCTCAGCAGGAGATTTGAAATTATGTCCCTGCCAAAAGCTATTGCTGCTGATGAATCACAGCACACACAATTAAAAGGCTGTGCTTTTTATTATGTATATCCACACACACGCATAAAAATGTAAATATGTCCATGTGTGTGTGTGCAGTGACTTGGAAATTCTATCCAGTATTTGCCAAATACAGCCAGTGTCAGCAGAAGTAGCCATCTGGTTTCAAACTAAGGGTGTTTCTGACTGTCTTTGCTGGAATGACTTCACTTGGGGAATTCCTTGTCAGTGCACTGCTCTGGGATTTTTATGGTACAGGTGACAGACACGTGGCATTGTAGGACTGGTTGCTGTTTAAAATCAAAACGTGTTTTATATAAAGTCCCTCTCAGAGACAAATGCAGATTTGCCAAATTTGAATTTTTTTTGCCAAAAACTAATGGCTATCCTGCGAGGACAGATCTTCATTTGAACTTCCTCCTGCTGGCTTGTTTTCTGCCCCCAGTCTAATCCTTTAAAGGGCTCTGAAGATTTATGTTACTGCTCTGCCTCACAGCCCTGCCCTGGTCAAGGCCCTGCCTACATTATAACCTTCTGACATTCCAAAATATAATGATGGGAATCCATCTGGAGAAGAAGAAAAGAACTTCTATGTACTTAACAGCGTGCTGCCTGACCCGGCCAATCCTTCACGCTGATAGAGACTGGAGGAAACTTTTCTTGCCAGCAATAAAACCAGCTGCCCTTTGCTCTCTACTGACACTATCTGTTCTCTTTCATGTCAGCTGAAGCTATCTTGTCTCTTTTCCATTACCTCTTTTTCCAGCTCTCACTCTGTGTTCTGCACTATCAAAGAACACTGCAATGGCCTTACAGCTATTTTACTGTATTTCTGCTCAGTAACTTTAATTATTATTGTATTGTATCATGTACACCTGCTTCAATAAGCAGGCAGGAAAAAGCTGAGTTGCTTGAGGCAATCAAGTACATGACCCCTTAGAATGAGGACAGTGCTGTGTCAGGGTTATGAAGAGGTTTGGATTATAGGGAAATATGCAAGAAGTCAAGGGAATGATCAAGGCAGACATTTCTACCATATTTTTACTAAAACTACCCTTCAAAGTCAGCACTGAAGAGTAAGAAGACTGTCAGCAACACCAATCACACAAACACCCAAAATCTTCTTCCCAAGAACGTTCCTGAAATGATACTTTGAGGTTAAATCTGGCCCCCATCTGCCCTATTTCTCCCAGGTACTTGTGGGATGCAACTACTTGGCTCCAGCCGCACAGACTTCAGAACAATGGGATTTGTGCCTCTCACAAACACAACACATTTGTGAGGCTGGGGAGTCACATCCCCATCCAACACGGAGCAAAGAGGCACAGAAAGATGTGCAAGGTCAGCAGCAATTTGCAGTGGAGCCAGGAAATGGTGCCAAACTGCCCGGTGCCCATTCCTGCACCTGAAGTGCAGACTGTGCTTCCAAATGAACATCTAACTGCTGTGGCTCATCCTGCAGATCGCAGCTCAGTGCTGAGAAAGCACCAGCAAGACAGCAGCACAAAGTCACAATCCTAAAAGATTGTGGCCAACAGCACAGCAGCCCGTCTGCATGCTGTCACAGTGCATCTGGAAAGCTAGTCATAACCAACACCTACTTAGAAGTACTTAATTCCTTGGTTTTACACAGTACAGTGAAATGGCATCACAGGATCCTTCCAGCTCAGATCCATTCATGCAGGGGATGCAGGAAGAAACCATTGCCTAGGAGACACTTACCTGCACGTGATGGGAAAGGACAAGCCAGAAAGCAGGAAAGCACTGCTTTGGTGCTCCACTAGTACACCCACATCCCTCCTTGCTGGCTGCCACTCAAAAGCACATACATGAAGACATCAAGGTTCTGTTAGCAGGGAGAGAGGCTGCTTTAAAAATAGAGTTGGCCAAAAAATTGAATTGTGTTTAGGAAATACTGGTAAAGCTCAGCACTGCCCACACTGCTCAGATGCCATCCTCCTCAGGCCAGCATTTTATGATCAAATATTCTGTGAGGGTAGGACATGTCAGTCCTTTATATTCCCTGCAAATAAACGGTCACACTATTATATGAAATTCCACAGTAGAAAAAAAAGCATGTCTAAAGGGCAAACAGCATGGCAGCACAGCATTAAATAATTTGTATGAAAAAAAGCAAGATAAAGAATCCTTACAATCATGAGATGCATCTCTGCCTCAGAAGACACTTCTCTCTCCCCCTAGGTAAGATCCACTGTCTGAAGCCTTGCAAAACTTCCCATTCTGTATCTAGCCTGTATCAGGAAGACCGCATTCCTGTTGGGAGAAAAAAACACTTGGCAGGAAGGAACCATTTTGCCCATTTGAAAGAACCGGTGGATCAATGCCAGCGAGGCTGAAGGAGTCTTGCAGTCAGAGCTGGGTTTCCCAAGGCCACTCGTTTCAGGCAATTTCTGACAGTTCATCGGAGCTCTTAGCTGCCCCGTGGAAGACAGCCCACCCCCCACTTCAGCTCTCTTTTGCTGGGGTGCTCTCACAACTTCCCACAGACAGGCCCAGCTCCAGGAACGCCCAGCGTCACCATCTGCTGCTGATGCAGCCACGTGGCACGCAGTGAATACAGGGGCAGTGAATACAGCAGCAGGGCCTTCAGGTCCCACAGCCAAACTCGTATGTGGCTTCAGGAGAAAAAGCAGAATTCATCACACAGAGGGCAAATTCGTAACACAGTGAGTGCAGATATTCAAACAGGGGCACAGTGCCGGGGGGAAAGGAAAGCTCTCCGATGTTCTCCGCCTTCTCCAAGCTTCCATCGGTGCTTTCTCTTCTCCAAATATGCCTTAAATTAGTGGGCATACCTACCAGTCTTCCACAGCATGGAACATAACCACTGGCAGAAACACTGTTTTCAGTCTGTTTTATTTGCTAATGTTTTAATAAGTATTTTTGGTTTTGTATTTTGCTGCTGATACAACCATTTCTTTGTCTATCAACACAGATCAGTTCCATTTAAAATACACCAGATAGGGACACCTAGAACTAGTTTTACTGGAATATATATGTACAGTTATGTATACATTATATACACATAGGCATTATATATATATACATATATATATATACACATATATATAAGGCACTGTAAAATGTACCATCACTTCTCCGAGACTCTTTAATTTGCAGAAGTAGATCATATTTCTTCATATAATTTGAAATGTCTAACCAAGGAATCTTTCAAATGTTTCAGGGTTATACAGATATCAGCTATGAAATAAGCCTTAGTTTAAAATTCAAGTTATTGTGACAAGATGAACAAAACCTATTTTGACAGTAACTCTAATCCATTTATTATATAACTGCTTCTCTCTTAGAAGATAGATTCACCTGTATAAATAGTTCCCTTTGTCTCTCCTTATTATGTTCCAAAATGTGAACTGAAACTCATCCTGCAGAATGAAAAAAAAAAAAACAGTGATGGAGGATTGAATATAAACGTGGATAATTTATCCATTACTTAGAGAGAGGAAAGCCAAGACCTCTGTAAGCCAACATGTCTTTAAATAAAATGTACTAAAACAGTTCATGACCTTACATAAATCTGTTTGACTTAGTTAACATTAATGGAGCCTGCTGATTAAGTTTTTGGACATGCAGTAAGGTAACCTCTGCCTCTACAGCACGCAGATACGATTGGTATTTATAATGAACAAGTTCGAATGGGTTCTTGCTCAATATAATTAGTCTACATATGCAAATTACAGCATCAGAAATCCTGAAGCAGCTGCGGTTAGGAGTTTGGCAGTTGTGTGAATTATAAGCCAATCTTACACATCAAATGGACGTGTTTCCAAAGAACAGAAACAGATGACGACAGATAGATGAGAAGTCACACATCTTTGGGATGTATACATCCAGATATCCTGGATAGGACACTTTTTTCCACACTACTCTGTAGCAACAATTCCCAATTGTGCTGGACCGCAGGATTCCTATTTAGTCCCACAACTTCGACAACAGACACTGGGAGAAGCTTCACTTCGTGTTGCCCTGCACCACCCGCTGCGGCCCCACAAGCACGATCCATTGGTCACAACCAGGAGGCACTTTTTAGAAGGTTCTTATTTTCTACTCAAAGCACCTTGAAGATGAGCACCTGCAATCACTTGGTTTAATATTTTGACACCCATGGGTTCTGCACTGGAACTGGCCTGCCCAGTTCAGCTGTTTCAGTCCATGTTTTGCAGAAGCAGAAATGAACAGGGGCAGCACCCCACGAACCGACTCAGCACACGAGGCCGTGTCAGGCATAACGCACCAGGGACGCTGGACACTTTAAAGTACTGAAGTGACTCAAAGGTTTAAAAATATATATATGTATTACGAGAGCCACAAAAAAGGTTACAGACAGAGCTCCACAAAGCCTGCACGGATACATTCCAACAATTCAAGGTGGCAGAACAGGTGAAATACAGACCATAGAAACGGTTCAGCATTAGCTTTCCAGACTGTCAGGGACAGCAATCTTAACCTCATTTTCCCCACATAAAAATAAAAATTGTGTATATATATATATAAGACTATATATATATATATCTAGTCTGGACATAGATATAGTCCAAAGAAAACCACATTTCCACATTAGGCTTGTAGAGTAGGCATTCCCCGAGGAGCACCACGGTAACACCCACAGGGTGATCATCTCAGGCCAAGCTGATATGTCCTTATGCCTCGTTAGCAATTTCAGAATGGCAACTCAGCACAGTTCATTTGCTGCACATGGCTACTAACACAGCCCTTAGTGCAACCCTTAGAGCTTTGACCAAACTGCAATTACATCTGTTTTCATTTAAAAAAGAAAATGCAAACGTAAGATATTTGGGCAGGTCCTGCTATCACCTTTCTTTAAAATTCAAGACTTGAGGACTTCTTTAATGTGCTTACTTACAGACACAGCGCTCAGGCTGTTCTAATGGCCTCCAGGAAAAGATGCTGCCCTGAGGCTTTCTCCCCTGTTACCTTCAGGTTTTGTCTGCGTCCAGTTTTGACGTGGGGGCCAAATGCTGGTTGCATATCAGTGCAGTATTTGGCCCAAAGTCTTTGCTATTTAGACTTTCCTATGAGGTCAACAAACAAAGCAGTAAAAAAAGAAAATATTAAGGCTTCAAGTAAAAATATTTCCTCTCTCTCCCACCCACATAGTAAGGTACATTTAATTTCATAATGCTCAATATATTATACAATTAACAATACAGAGATCCAACTTTTCAACGCAGATTGCACTACAATGGAAACCTGGAGGCTAAATGGGAGTGTATGAACAGCTAATGAAATGCAATATGCAATGAACATTGATGCATAAGCTAAACAAAATCTATTGCTGTTTTTTTGTTGGTTTTTTTTTTTTTTTAAAGTAATACAATCCACAGCTAAAAATAAAAACACATTGAAAAGCTTTAAGACTTCTGAACATGAAATAAACATGACAAAATCAAGAAGCTACTTTATAATATGTATTAACTTGTGCTGGATTTTCGTAGCTGATCCCACCTACTGAAAATGAGCATCACTTACTTAGCTTCAGTGGAGCCACATCAGTTTACACCACCTGAAAGTTTGGCTGTAGAGTCTGTAAAAACTGAGGATTTGAGCGATAGAAGAATTTGGCTGCTAACCTGTGAACTGTTTGAAGAACAATATTTTAACAAGGGAAGAGATTCTGCTCCTAAATCAGATGCAGTAAGTAGGTCCCCTGCAATGGAGCTATGGACACTGGTGCTTACATTTATGAGAACGGCTGTAGGTTCAGTGCCTTGGCTGGGGAGGAGGCTGGACTTGCTGCATGCAATCTCCTGTTAACAGTTCTGCTCAGCTTATTCTGCCAGAAGATCTGAATGATGCTATAAGCACTGAATTATATGCAAACCTCAAAAGGAAAAAAAAAAAAAAAGAACCAGAAGAAGAAAAAAAGACTTTGGTACCATTGTAAACCTGTTACCATATCCAATGTGTCTTAATTGTGGCTAAAACTACTCACAAAATACATAATCCTTACATCTGAGCCTGTAATGACACAGTGCAGCCATCCTTTCCTCTCTTGCCCTTTCCTTCAGAAAGAACCCTGGATATTAGTGCTTTATACGTACATCACTTCAGTCCTACTGTTCAGTCCTACTGAGAGATTCTTCTCTCTTGACCTGCAGTTAATTTCAGAGGCTCTTTGGCCCTTCAAGATCCTCAGTAGCGTTTTCTTTTACAAATGCAGGAGAAATGATCAGAGTGGAGCATCACTGGGATGCAAATCTCAAATACAACACTGGTGCAGATTCTCAGCTTAGCTTGCATGTATTTCATGCACATATTCATAGATACATGATAATATGTGCCCTCATCTAGATGGTGAGCCCAAATTCTGTGTCACCATCCCTTACATGTGGCAGACATGACATTTAACAAACAGGTAAGTCTCATGTTATTCTGTGCACCAGAGTGAATTCCAGCCCTTGAGGAAGTCCTGCACCTTCCAGAGGAGCTAACATCAGGGTAGAATTGCAGGTCAGTAACAGTTAAAGATGGCAGAGCATAGCCCCTCGGTCCTGCAGCTCCACCTCGAACAGAACCTTCTCTCATCATGTGTCCGAATAAGGTCTGGCTGTCTTCAGTCTGTAGTCTCCAGTATTCTGCCTTGGAAGACTACTCCCTTTCTCTTTCCCTATCGTCTTGACTCCTCCTTCTAAATGTAGACTGGCCACTGGCTACTGGGAACAACTCTGGTTTGCCTTTGGTTTTACCTACATGAGTATCTCATATGAGTACCTCATAACTTTGGCCTATTTCAGCTGCTCTGCTTTCTCAATTTCTCCCTTCAGACAATATAGAGCTTTACACATAATTATGTTTTCCTCTCCAAAATCATGCGATACAAAAGGAACATGTAGTAACTCTGTATTGCAGTAGATGTCAACATTTATCACATCAAAAGATCAATTTTAACCAGGCAAAACTGAGGTCAATATTTGCCTTCTGGAATAATTAATCTCGACATAGATGAACACAAGTAAAATGTTATCGACACATCCTGAATTGCTACCAATTAGCTGGAGAGTTCTCCATTATAGTCAAGGATTGGAAATGATTTAACCCCCTTGAAACCAATATCTTGAAAAACAAGGAATTTAGCTCTCTAGTCAAAACTATTTACCAGGAGAATGAGGTGAAAAGTCGAGGTTTCATATGCTGACTGGCTCAGTGATAAATAATGATTTTTACTGACTTTGGCAACAGTCACTCAGGATATTTTTAACAGAACGCACACTCTGGCTGCTTAGCATTGGTCTGGACCTCCGTACAAATGAGAAGGAGATCAGGAACGGAAAGAAAAAAAAAAGGAAATAAATATTTGTCCCAAAATTAGAGTTACCAGAGTTCTGATTTCTGAGACAAAAAATGGCGTAACCCTTTCTTGGGTTTTCTGTTTGTTTTTAAACAGCAAAGTTGTCTTTGAATGCAACAAAGCAAATGTAGTTTTCTGGAGACAGGGAAAGGAAACCTCAGAATGTTAAATATTTTGATTGATATTATTTTAAAAAGTTGTTCCCCAAGGGAAAGAAAATTCAAAAACCAAACAGAAAAATCCTTTGTCTTACAGTACTGAAGACCAGAGGGAATGTGCTAGTCATCAGGCAGACACCAAATTTATATCCTATAGACTTACGCTTGGCTCAGTTACACACACTGTAAATTCAACAGCTCATGCTAACCCTGCTGCAGGACTGCACAGGGCACCAGGCAGGGCAGTAAGCACCTTACTGCCTGGATCCAACAGGCAAGAGGGAGGGTGCAGGGAAAGCAGCTGATGACTGTTAAGAACTTGTTCCCATCTGAACACTTCCTTTCGTGTCCACATGGATTTTATTTCTGAGTCAGAGAAGCCTTTAAAAAACAGGGATGAGAGGTGAGAGTGGAAGATCCTCACTGGTGGTGCAGTCCTTTCCCATCAGACAGACACATGGGTGCACACACGTTTTTTTCATACGTAGGAAGGCGAACAGCAGACTGGAGAAGCTGCTGTTGCCTTTTCTCCTGCACCCAGCTGGGACTGAGGAGCAGGGAGCCTTTGGAAGATGACACAGCGTTTGTAGTGCAGGGTGCCCTGCCACGCTCCTGCCTAGCAGAACCTGACCTGCAATGCCTGGGAGATGCAGGGCAGCTCTCACACCTGCAGACTGCCTGGCACAGGGAGCACCCTTTCCTCGCCAGCAGAAAAGCAGCAGCTGGACCTCTGACTCCTGCTGGACCCACGGCTGGCCAGAAGAACTGGGAAGGGGCACAGGAAAGCAAAACGATCCTGGACTGACCATTTTTTCACTGCACTACTGGTATGCAATGTTGGACAGACAGACGCACAATGGCTTTAGCACTCTCTTGCATAAAAAAATCCGCTCTGTGGTTGGGGTGGTAGGTGGCAGCCAGCTCCTGTCTGTTGATTAAGACGAATCTGATGGACTGTACAATTTTACTCCGTCAAGAATAAGGCTGCAGCTGTTTATTTGGCCAAAAGATAGAGATGAAAACAGAATGAATCCAAAACAATAAAAGGAGAGTGGCCAGCTGCTGCTGCTCCTTCTTTGTTGTTAATTGAGTCTTCACAGTGCTCCTAGCTTCATGGCTGGCTGAGTGGATGGCTCTTTGTTTTCATTTAATTTTATTTTACACTGAAATTTCATAGGTTGTTCCACCAACTCCAGACACCTTCTTAACATTTGAGTGTCTAGCAGGGCTGACAGGTGTTCCTTGGGAACTTGACGTTGAGCCTAGCCTAGATATTCCTTTTGGCTGTCCATTTATTTTACTGTGCGGTGTCTTCATCTGTATATCATCCCTGCACCAAAAGAAATACCAGGACATAATGTTAGTGAGCAAAGTGTGATAACGGAATGGCTTTATTCAGGATGAACAACAACTGCTGTTAGACTGAGTCCCACTGATGCAAAATATTTGAACATGAAAGTTGGTTGAAGCCAATGCACAAGATGAGAAGCCACTGAAATGAGAGAATTCACTTGGCCATTAGATGAGTGGATCAGACTGCAGTAATATTTGTTAAAATGCTCATTTAATCACTCACTTAGATGCTTTGTTGAACTGAACTAATTGCAAAGTATCTGCAGGAAAGTTTAAATCTTTCCACTGCTGACTTTAACCCAAACCATGCTTACTTACAATTAGAAACACAATGCTCTGAAAAAACACTTTCTAGATAAATATTCAAAGTTAAACAAAATTATCTTGCTCATCTCTGAAAGACATACAAAAACTGGAGCATAGAACTTCTTAATCATAGAAGACACAAACTGAATCAAGTCAGGAAGCACATTATGATGCCCGTAATTAAAAACCATAGTCCTGATCAACTCTTGGAAATGATTTCCTTTCTTATGACCTACTGCCAGGGTGAAGCAACAACAGGCTTTTCTCAGAAGACCTTTTAAAGGTCTGCATCAAAACATAGCATGTCTCATCGCCAGGACTCACCAAGTGATGGGATAAAAGACTTCATGTATGTTCTGGAAGTCCCAACAATGAGAAACCTGGGACATTAACTAGAAGACAGCATAGTGCAGTAACTGCCAGGTGCAAAGAAAGCCTAAATATTTCCAATTAGCCTTCCAGGCCCCACACTGCAGCCTCAGCAGGGTCATGTGGCTCTTTTCAGACTTTCCATTGCAAAGTCAAGTCTCCAGAAGGAAGAGAAAGGTAAGTGCATGCAGAAGCTGCAGCTGAAGATATTGCTAAGATGCCACTTCTAACGATAAGGAAGAACACGATGAGATGGCCTCTGCTTTCATCACTGCTTCTGTACTACAGGACATGCAGCACAGCTGAACACACAGCTCTCTATGCCAAGCACAGCTTCCAGGATCTGTACGTGCCGTGATCCTGTTAGTGCCTCTGTGCCCAGACAAAGGTGGGGTCCAGCCTCTCTTTAGGCCATGCACTACAACAGCTTCACCCTTTCATGTGTAACAGGAAGGATAATTTGGCCTGCGTCTTGCAAATAATTATCAAGTCCGCCTTAGATATTAAATCACAATGAATTTCACAGCTTCATTGACCACCTGCAGTTCACGTTATAGCAAACATGCAAATATTTTGTCATTTCTGCTCTGCGCTGTCACAGAACAGAAGAGCACCTAAAAATATGCCACCTTTGTTGGCCTACAATGAACACGTAACCAGGGCCGTGCCTCCAGGGAGGCATCTCACAAACAGCCTCTCATTTCTAAGCAGCACCATAAGCAGTACATACCTTTGTGCTCCCACTGATTGCACCTCTGTAATTTCCACAGTGTTTACAAAGGAGACAGACTTTGGGCCTCCATAAGAGGGTGACCTAGGCATTCCTGTGGGGGACGATGGGACCTGGTGGCCTGGTGATTTGTAGGAGCCATTGCTCACCCTGCCTTGTAGTGCTTGGTGCGTCTGGACATTGTTATTGGCTAAATCAGCTTGCAGAGAGGTTGTGGAAGTCCTTGGAGCTCTTGTCATTGCACTTGAGAGCGAAGACACTGAGGACTGCAGTATAGGGTTCCTTGTGCTAAAACTGGCAGCAGCCATCAGATTGTCTCTAGATCCATATCTCATCGCCATGCTGCGTGGGTCTTCAGAGAGCGTGCTGACTTGCTGAAGGCTGTAAGAGCTAGGGGTGTCATAGACACCTGAGTCTGCAAACACGGAATCAGGGTGCGAGTGGAGGAGCTTCTCTCTCTCTTCCATCTCTTTCCTTTCCTGAATGGATGCCATAATGGTTTTGGAGAGGTTGTCATAGCGGACTGGAGAGGGGTCTCGCTGATGTGGAGCTGGGCCCCCCAGCACTGGGCTGAAGCTCTGAGGTGGTTGGCGTTGCAGCTCGCTCCCCCGTAGATGGCACATTTTGGCTGATAAATATGGTGAGTGGTACCCGACAGAGCTGACTGCAGAATGGGCAACGCACTTCCTCCCCGAGGGTGACATGGGGTTTAGCAAACTGTCATATGAAAGACTCCCATTTCTGTTCGACAGGGAATTGGGAGAAAAGATGCTTTTGTAAGGAGTGGAAGCCGCCCCTTCAGACTTCATTGGATGAAGGGGCACTTTGTCTGTCCCTCTCCTGCCAGCAGATTTCAGGCTCAGAGATCGTGAATTGATAGCAAAGGAATCTATCTGGAGTGGGGAAGACTGATAGGTCTTGTGAAGGGAGCTCTTGCGGTAGCTTGGGATGTCCAGGCTGGGTTCGGACTGGTAATCAAGGCTCCTGCCATCCTCTTCTATCAGAGCCCCCTGGCTGTGTCCCTCCTGCAGGGTGATCTAAAACAGAGGTGAATATGAGAAACAAAAGCCTATAATAGACACGTGCAGATCTGCTCTCCGTGGGACTGCACAGGAAGAAAAAAAGTTGGACATCTTCTCTCAGACTCACAGCCTACGACAAAAGTTCATAAGGTTCATTATGAGGAATCTGACTCCTCAGCACGTGGACAGCCCCTCAGAATCAAGGAGTCAGTCACAGTAACTGCTAAGTAATATGGACTAATTAGTACATCAATGCATGAGCACAATGAGATAACTTCTAAACTGAAACTCTGTTAAGGTAAATGAGATTGTAATCTGGTAATAATGCCCTTGGAAAAGCACTCTGCTTCAATCTTTCCACAAATAGCTCTTGAGTTGAGTGATGTCTGGTTCTGAGTGCTGAGTCAGACATCCTTTGGGCTTCATTTCAGCACACTGGGGACCAGCACACTCTTATTCACTTTACTCAAGATATAAATATTCAACAATTCTGAAGATCAGGTCACAGGTCTTCAAAATCAAGCATCTAAAATTAATCAGAGTAGAGAGGCTCCCTCCCACCATTTAGACAACAAGATAATTTACCTCAGAGAAGGAAGCACAGGCCAGTATTTATTTATCTGCATTGAAAACAGCAGGACAGATGCAACAAGCTCAACAAAGCAATGCTGCAAAAGTGGACATGTTTTCATAAGAAGCACTGTGAAAATCTACACTGTTGCACAATGATGCCAAATGTTGCTGTTTGTTTTCACACTGTGACATTCACAAGACCCCTGCAACGAATTTTTCCTCAGCCTTAAGTTGTCCAGAATTAACTGGGAACAGATTGTGACAGGCTACTGCAGCTCACTCACCTGCTCAGCAGCAGCATGGTAGTGGACTTTGGGATTGTTGCTGAAAGCTGGCCGGTACTTGTACATGGCAGGTGTGGGAGGGCTGATCAACTTGGGTGAAAGGCCACTTTCTGGATAAGAAATAAAACACAGACATTATATTGGAACGTGTGGACAGCATTCCTAAGCTCTTGCTATCTTTGCTTCTCTGCAAACTCAGCTCCATTCCACACAGAATGGAACTTCTGCTATTTTTGTGATGAATTCCACCAAAATCATCAGGGCCCCATGTGGAAATAACAGTGCCCATGTCCAGAGCAATAATCTAAAGAGAAGAAGAAAAGGTATGCTATACAAAGTGGTGTGACATATTTTGGTGAGTAGCATTTTTGCTGTATTTCAAATTACTGGTTATTTGGGATCAATTCAGCAAATAGTTTTGTCTGAAGAAGGGAGATTTCTTAAACAGTCTCAAAGCTTTAATCTTTTCAAAAATGAAATATTTGTTTCTTATGACTAAGCATTTTATGCTAATATTTTTGATTCCCTACTTCAAAATGACATTTTTCATTGTTAAACTGATAAAAACTTAAGAGGGGGTTTAAAAGAGTTTAAAAACTGCAAAACTGAAATACCCAGCTTAGACTTAGAATGAAATACTTCAAGTTTTCTTTCCCCTTTCTGCTGTTTATTCCTCTAACTCACAGCTCTTGTAAAAACAAAACCCTTCACCCAGATCCCCTCAGTGTTCTGAAAGAATAGTATAATATTTTAAAGAGGGTAAAATATTTTCATATTATTAAAAATAAAACACTGATCACGCAACTGTACCTTCACTGGTCCCCAGCTGCCCTTTTAACTCAGAGTATTTGCTTTGATCTCCTTTGGGTGGGAGCGGTGGTTGCACATCCATACCTTTCTCCTCCAGACCTTCCAGGCTGATTTTGGACTGCAAATGACCAACGAATCAATTACTGCCCACAACAGAAACACAAAAAAAGCCCCACAAGAAGAAAGAAAGAAAAAAAGGAAAGAGAAGAGTGAAGAATTCAAATTCAGAACTCAACAAGTTCTGAAACACAACTTCTGTGGTCCTTTCACTGGACCAGAAACCTTCCCGTCATCTGGAAGCTCTTAACTTTCCTCAAAGTACAACAGCCAATCTGGTGGTTCAAGGGTTCTCACAGTATGAGTTAGTTAAAATTAATTCACACAGAGAGGTGGAAATTCTTGGGACAAAATATAATGAACTACTGCAAAGAACGACCTCTTTCAAAAGATGCCGGGAGGTCTGATAATAGATTAAGAACTGCTGTTACTGAACCTGGGTTACTTTTAGAAGATGAAGTACGAGACAAGGACTCAATCACCACTGGTGAGACACATCTGAGAGACGTGTCCTCTCAAGGAGATTTTCTACGACAAAGTTATTTCCAGGCTTTGGTTCCATAAAGCCCAGGATGTGCTCCTCAGAAGTGCCTAAAGACATCTCACCTTGCTCCGGTTGAGGTTGGCTTGGATCCCATTGTCGCTGATCTTCACTGTGATCTGTCGTTCAGATAAATCAGGTCTGAGGAAAGGAGGCTTCACGCTCACAGCCAGCTTCTTCTTGGGCTCAACTATGTACCTGGTTAATTGTTCAATAGTTATCATTAAAATAAACTATAGCCTAAAAATTAGACATAGAGACAAGACAATCTTCCTACTTGAGGCATGATTAAAGGATGTGATAGAATCTACATAAGTAAGCTCCATTTATTTCAGTGGAAGTCAGCCCAAGTAATAATTAAAAAGCAATAAAAAGATCATTGAGGTTTTTAGTGAGCAAAAGGAGAGGATGTATTAAAAAAAAAAAAAAAGTAATTTTGGAAGCACTGATACACAAGAGCACAAATCATGAGAAGAGAGAAGGAGAGGCCTACCACCAAAGGAAGCAAGTTACTAGATCTTACCTAGTTATCATGAAACAGCTTCCCTGCAGTGGAAGGTGGAGGAGACTGGGGGAATAAGACCCAGCGAGTGGGGAATTAATGTGGAGAAGATGTGCTGTCAATTATAGCATATCACATGGTGACTTGCTTCTGTAGTGTGTTTAGAGTGTTAACATGAATGGAAGTAAAAGAAACAGGCCTGTAGCAAGCAACAAATCTAAAGGGAAATGGATGATTTTAGATACTTAATTACTTTCCAGTAGACTGTGACTCTGTAAGTGCAATTTGGCAATGGCTGTACTACACATAAGCAGCACAGTGCACAAGCTTTCTCTGTTTCATCCACTAAAAAGGACATTCTAGCACTAAATGGCTCAGTGTCTTTCAGTATACAGGACAATTTGAACAGGTCTTCGCAAAACACAAAACATGGCTTGCTAAAAGTGAGAATAGCAGTGGTGATGTTGCTCACACACCTCTCTTAACCAGAGTATCTCCCAGCTTCTAAAGTCCAGCTTAAAACATCTTGACCTGATTTTTAAGTTTTGGCTATTCCACTGTCTCCATTTTAATAAAAGTAACAGATTTGTAGAAGTTATTTGTTCTACAGCAAATTAAAAAAAGAAAAAAAATAGCAGAAAAAAAGAGCAGTACTGAGGTCTGGGATTGCTCAGCATCATGAAAAAGGCCCAAATAAATCTTCTGGTTGTGATATTATTAGCGTGTACACAGACTAGACAGCTCAGAATCTAGGATATTTATACTCCATCTGATCTACTGCATTAAAATCCCCATTTCAGAATGTGAAGGGATAAATCAATTTCTGCAAAAATAGAAAGCCATAAACAAAATCCTTGGTTCTACAATGTAGACCCGGTTGAAAATCTGTTTTATGATAATTAAAGTGACAGTGGGATTGAAAACCAGATGCCCTAAATCAGATTCAAGTCTCAAGAGGAAATGTTGATTTTAGAGAACTTCTTTGCATCCAGTAGGCTAGGATCCCTCACCAATACTTGGACATTGACTGTGCAGTACAAAAAGTCATGCTGGAAGTGTGGTAACATATTGAAAGTTAATACTGAAAGTCACTAGATGAACAAGTTGGTGAGACAAGGCTATCAGCTCTTGATTTAAGCTGACTCAGTTATTCCAGATACCTATTTCTGGCATGAGGATTACGAATTATATGAAGAAAGCAATTGCTTGGGCAGGTTACAGCTATGCAACAGCGAAGCTGCTACCACAGCTACCTCTTTCCCAGCAACTTCTCCACCTCCCTTACTCCCTTCTTCTTACCTGGGAGCCAAAGGACTGCAGAGCACGTGTTCCACATTTCCACAGCATCCTCGGGTAAAAGGATTCACTCCCCCTCGAAATTTACCTGTCACCTGGAAACATATTCGGGTCAGTGCTCAAATTCTGGTTTCGTAAATCATTGCCCAACCCTTAGAAAGGCCAGGACAAGTGTGCCTTGTGCTAACAATACTGTCTTGCCTAAACAGGAGACCGCTGTTCTTTGAATGCTGCACATTTCCCCCCTGCTCTAACACACCCCTCCACCAGCTTCCACACACACCAGTCAAGGGTCTTTCCCACGAGCACCATGAGCTCAATAGGAGTGCATTTTAAAGCTGCCACGTTCACCTCTCCATGCTGTTCTTGCATGAGTTGTGCCTGCAAACATCCTGTATTGGTCTCTTTCCTTCCCTCCACTTCCCTACCCTGCTAAGTCCCCTCCAAACAAAAAGGAATGACAGTTCTTAATGCCGGATGAGATCAGTGGTTCTTCCAAATCATCCTCTTCCTCCTGGCAGCATGAACCACTGTCTCATGGGGGAGGGTGCCAGGAACTCCCCAGTGATTACCGTGCTTACTTGGAAATTAGCTACTTTAATAAAAGTCAAGTCTTATTAGTCTGGCAGGATGTAGTCAAAGCTTCAGAAACATTATAAAGGGTTTGTACTTAGCAGGCAGATACTTGAAAGTAACCATATGGGGATAAATACCAATAAAGCCAGAGAGATTAATAGTGGTTGCCAATAAAAGCATTACGTTGCTTTTTGCAAGTAATGCATTTTAATCAACTCACAGTTCTGATCTAACACCGAGTTTAAAGAGTACCAGAAATACTTTAATTACTTGCACATAAAATAACAATGATTAAATGATTTTGCAATATATTATGCTGGCCTATTTGATATTACATAAAACTCTTTAAAGGCTGGAAGTTCTGAATGTTGGAAGAGTAACCTGATGACTAAAGCATGGACCTGCACATCTGGCACATCCGCATTCATTCTTGGGCTTAAGCTAACTAGCTGCCAGATGCTGCCAAAGCACTTCATATCTCTGTTCAGCTTCTCAGACACAACATGAAAATAAAATTTCTCTACCTCACAAATCACATTAGTAATTATAGCAATTTGGTTTCCAAAGTAGAAGGGCTGCTCTGAAAGTAATGACTCCTATTTTATGATGTTGGCCCATGACATCAGAGGCGGCTGCTGGTGGCATGGCAGCAGAGGTTGAAGCTTCCCACCAACATCCTGCTATGTTTTGTTGCTGTGTGACAGATGGCAGCAGGGCGGCACTCTGACAGAATGGCATCTGACATGGGAGTGTGTATGGAGCACAGGTGTGTCACTGGGTGCTCCATGTGGAAAGAACTGCACCTATCGGCATTCATCGATGCTTGCTGAATGGTGATGGAGGCCAAGCAGTGGCTGTGAGCTCAGTGAGGGCTGGGTGGTGAATTTCAGCAGGGGTGATAATGGGTCATCTCCACTGGTGCAGACTTTTATAAGTGCAGCATATAGATTCTTGATCACTGCAGGCTAAGCACACAGCTAATCTTCATGACTGTACTGAAAGAGTATTTTTGTGGCTGAGAATTTGGTAGAGCAAGTGATGTCATTGTGATCTTTGTATTTGTTGCAGTTTCCGTGGAAATAAATAGGAGGCATTACTTTCAGAACGGCCAACACAGTTTGAGATACAGATAGAAAGCAGCCTCAGAAGGAGAGGTATTTATTTACTCTATCCAGAAACTAAAAATACCAGGCTATGAGCAGATGTTGGTTATTTTGGTTCCATAAAATACTTCCAGAGGTATTCACAAGAACTGTGTTCAGCCACCAGGCACTCCGAAATCACAATCTGTTTTCTATGAATGCTCAAAACCTATGAGCTCTGGAATGAATGGACAGCAAGAATGCACAGTAAAACACAGCAGTCTGCACTGCTGGCCTACAAAAATGTCATGGGAAAAGGGGATGTGTGCTGAGCGTACTGTAACTGGAGCCTTGACTGCAGATAACTAATAATGTCAGAAAAGAAAATCAATACTGAGACTACAGGAGAAATGGGAATGTGTTAAAACAGTGGCAAAGCCAGAAGCAGATCTCTTATCTATGACTGCTAGCCTGTGGTCCTAATTACCTAGAGAGGTACCTGAAGGCTGGGAACATCCATGCTCTGGTTACAGCTCTGCAGTACATAGGACTGCACAGAAATGAAGTGTTTCAGTGCTTTGGTAGCTCAAGAAACCAAACCAACCTAGAGTGCCTTTTCCAATAGTTATTTCAATCAAATTAAATGCAAAATTCTCAACCTGTCCAAATGTAACTAAACACAGAATAAGTTCTTTCTTTGTTTTCTAATTTTTAATTTTTTTTTTCCTTCTTCCTCACCCTCAAATTTTTGTGGACAATTTTAACCCCTGCGGAGAAACAAGCCTCAGATAGAACATGACATGGGATAAGAGACTAAAATGCTTTGGATTTCATGTTACTATTGTTAGCACTATCAAACTTAATACTTGGCCAAAATCAATTTTAAAAATAAGACCAGCTGACTCCAAGCAAGACTAAGATAGACACAGCAAGGCATTTAAGGATTTTCAGCTACAGTAAGTCTGCTTTGTTCAAAGTCCGTGTTAGGCAGCAATTCAGGATGACTTCAGATTCTTTGCCTATGTTAACTTCTCACACTATTCATGGATTTTATGCATGGTTTTATTGTCTCTTGTAGGATAGCAAACAATCTCATCCCAGTGTACAAAGACCTCAGACAGCTTACTGGCACGCTGCATGCCCCAGCTGAGTACCCCTTACAAACAGAGGCATGCTATGGGTCCCATGACTAGATCTCTATCACCTGTTGCATGCTATCAGTGTGTGCACATGTATATATGCAGACCCCAGACAGGGTCTGAACATGATACATGTGAGTAACTGCAAGGGAACTAAAGTTTACAGTTTTTTTGGCACAAGATGCTGTCAGCACTTGGTTTGGAGAAGCAAAACAAGTTAGATCCAATAGCCTGTGTGTGTGTGCATGCACATACACGAGAACAAGGGAGACAAAGAGAGAGAGACAAAGAGCTAGCTCAGGCCTTATTAAGAGCATGTGGGCTGGCTGGAGGAGTTCAAAATATCAGGAGATAGGGCAAAGACTTGATTTAATCTTTTCCTTTCTTTTGTTCAGTCTCATGATTTGTTCAGTCTGACTCATAAAGTCTGAACTTCTGGAGTTGACAGTACACACCACATAAAGCCTATTTCAAGGACGTGAGTAGATTTCAAATGTTAAATAAGGCTTTGTGGTTAGGATAAGGGGAACATCTGAGCTTGTAGTGCGTTCAAGAAAAAAAGTGAAAATGAAAAATGAGGCAAGCTTCCGAGATCCTCACAAAACCCTCAAGAAGAGTGTTGGTTTTTGTTTTATTTGTCCAAGCTGACTTGCTGGCTTTTCTTTCCAAATCAACATCTTAGCTACAAACAGAGAAAAAACTGCTGCTTACCTGCTCGTTGGTCGTGCGTCCTCGTGCCACTAAAACAATATGGAAACCAGTGAGACCAATGACTGGAATAAAGAATAACCCAGCCACACACATGACAGCCATTCTGTACCCAGGAGTTAAAGAAACTGGAGTGAGTGAAGGGAAAATGAAACTATGAAGAACAAGAAAAGCAAAAGGAGAAAAAATCTGGGAAATAGGGAGCATGTTTGTCATCTTCGATTAGATTAATCAAATTTCACCTTAAGTCCATCTATTCCTAGCAACAGTCCTTATCATTGAGATTGTTCAAAAATAAAGTGAACTCACTGATCCTGGCTTCAATCATCTTGTAAAGACTGCTCTGCACTAACCTACCAAAGGGAGTAGCAACCCTCAGAGCCAGGGGTTAGAGTGTTACACTGCCGTGGAGATGACATACCTCCAGGGCAAACACTACTGTATCATACGTTTAAATACAGTAAAGAGTACTCAACAGTGTAGAGTCACACGCAATTGGAAGTAAAATTCAGGAGATGCTGTATCTTTCTGCTGTGTGCCTTAGCAATGACTGAGATAGACAAAAGATCAGGCACAGCATGGGGGTAACCACACGTCAGATGAGTAAAGAGAAAGAATTGTCCTAAGCATTTACAGGGGAGGAGCAACAGGAATCAGGAGAGGAGTAAAACCTGCACCAGTTCCAAGAAGACAAACCTTCATATCCACTCCTTCATATTTTCCTCTAGGCCACCTTGTGTCTCTGAAGACCAAGAAGAAGGATACGTAATGGTGGTATGAGCTGCTCCCAGCTTTTCCATGTGGTTCAGTATGAAAATCAGGCCAAAGGTGAATACTCCAACCATGTGCGTACTTAAGGACAGCAAGAAGAGAAAAAAATAGCGATAGTTCCTCCGTCCTATGCAATTGTTGACCCATGGGCAGTGATGGTCAAAATCCTTGCAAAGAAAGGGAGAGACAGGGAACAACATCCAAACAGTGAAAGGAAATAGCTTTTCTTAGAGGTAAATCTGAACTGTCGTTATGTAAAATCACATCAAGCTAGTTCTGAAGCTTTACAAACCAGGTACAGCCTCTTTATAAGGCTCTTCTCAGCACAAAATGGCTTCTTTATATATGAATGGAGAGGCACTCGAGAGTTCATAGAGTTAAGAGAACACATTGCAACATAAAACAGGCTATTCATCTGGCAGCAGATGCACTGATTTCTTTTTAATCATCCATCACATGAGGAGTCAATTATAATGAAGCTATCATACCCTATAGTAGTCTGAAGATGCAATACTGGCTGCAGAATTCTCTCCCCGACATTTCTGTATTTATATGTAGCTGAACTTTTTAATTAGCAAGCTCAAGAAAAATACTTTTCCACAAAGCAGGTTCCTACAAATTTTCATACTGTAAGTTTTGCCCAATATATTTACCAAAACTTTACTAAATAAAAGAAATCGATCAGTTTTCTCAAAGCACATCAGCAAATGCCAGAGGTGATTTAATAAGGATCATTCCAGGCTATGCTTGAAATGCTGACCCAGCATATGCCTATGATGTGAATCTGGTTGTACACTCCTAAAATATCTACAGATTATGAAACTATACAAATACCCACTGTGAACATTTCAGCAAAGAAAAAAAATCCGACTACTTTTGTCATGGATTTATTTTTCAGTCCATCTGGTCACAGCAGGGTTTCAACTGATTTTATTTCTGCAAGGGTTGTCATTTTTTGTTGTTAGGTTATTTTTATCAAACTGGCTCAAAAGTTTTATATTCAGGCTAAGAACTTTCATAGCACATTCTAGACTGAATGAGAAAAGAGGTGAATTCCAACCCTGCATGAGTTCCACACTGAAAAGCCAGCAGTCACTCTTATCACTGTCTTCAAGCTCTTGTAGAATAGACAGGTGAACAGAAATAAACATCACAAGAATCAATAAAGTATGCTGTTTAAGATCACTATTTATTGATTCAGAAGTTATCAATGCTTTCTGCCTACATTTCTTCACGGCAATCATAATTTAATTAAACAAGCAGAGTTTCACTCATTCTTGCCCACCAGAAGAATAAGAACACTGAACCAGTCTGACTATCAATAAATCCTCCTGAGAAGTAGGCAGTCACCTTGCGTTCCACTGGTTTATTTGGGTTACTTTTGGATTCTCTCTCATTTTCATTTCTGCAGCAGAACTGCCTCCCCTGGAGGCCCTATGGCAGCACGAAATCGCAACTGTTTGTACCACTGGGTTTTGGGCAATCTTTTTCTGAGAAAACATCATTTCTTGAAAATGGATTTTCATGCTAAGCCACTGGGGAGAGGAGAAGAAAGAAATTCTATGGGATAATTGAGAACTTCATCATCTAAACAGTCCTTAGAATCTAGAAATAGTGAAAACATTTGTTTTAAAACCAGGAAGATACGAGCCAGGTTTTCTCCAAAAAATCCACCTCTGTTTAACAATACACAGCAGTCTAACACAATTGTGCGACGAGGAACAAATAGCTGTGGCTATTCTCCTCCACCCAGGGACTTCAGTAGCTCCTTTCTCTCCATCTTCTCAGATCCAGCATCCTCCTTAAGGATTTTCTCCTGAAGGAGAAAATCACGGACACAAGATAAACCCTGTCAGCCTTTCTCACACAAGCAACTGTACTGCTTTCCTTGGGACTGTTCCCTTGCTTTTGGCAACGAGGATTAGGACAAAGATGGTGTACATAGCATTCTAGCTGATACCAGTATTTTTTGCTGTCTGATTAGCAGCCCGTTTCATTTTAATGGCACAGCTGAATATATCGTAGACACATTAAAAGAATCACATTTCTATTTGGAAAAAAAAAAAAAAAGAAAAAGAAAAAGAAAAAGACCTTGCATCAGAAATGATCCTTAACAAATAGAATTTTTAGCTTAGCTATAGAAACTGCCCGAAGGCAACACAAGTACTGTGGATACAGTACTCTGTACTTAGAATTTTAGGAGATGTCTATAGCCCAGAAGCACTCTTTACTATTTAGGGGTTATTTTTAAATATCCTGTGTGCATTACCAAGACCTCAGGGCTATTAAGAAACATGAAAGCCCTATAATTCAGAGGGACAACATTAGAAGCATGACTGAGTTCATGCTCCAAGCTGAGGTGTTGATGTAAACATAGAGCCCTTCCACTGAGTGTAGAACTGCACATAGAATTCTGACTTTGATTTCCACACATCCCCAGTGATCTTATGGTTCATCACTTCATTTCAAACAAACTGGTGCCCACACTGGGGGACAAACACACAAGTGAGAATAGTTCACCCTGAACTTTCCGCTCTCCTGAACTCTGCCTCTCCATAAATGCTCCCATTCACCTCATTTTTACAATCACGATCCCTAAGCTACCTTGAGGAAGACACAGCCAGGATTATAAACCTTTAAACCTAATTATCATCAGCAACAAAGCTGACATCAAACAATATTGCATATGTAACATATATCATAACAGAAGGCTGTGCTTCAAATGGTACCGATCAGTAGAAGACCATCACCAAGGTTAGAGCTGGGAACTTCCAAGAATTGAAATACTGGGGGAAGGACCCAACTGCACATTTCCAGTAGCATGTACGTGCAACCCCAATCACAGGGCCAAAGTCAACACAATCAGCAGCACTGTTACCTCAACACAGTTGTCACAGACGCTGCAGTGAGAGCAGCGTGGAGGACGGTAGAAGTGGCAGGTGGCACACCATTTCATCCGTACTTGGATTCCTTTAATCTCCACATTCTTGTAGAGTGGAGCTCGGAAGTCATCGTCTTTATCTTCATCTTCATCTGCTGCTCAATGCAAAACTAAAAGTTACTGGAAATAACAGAGTAATGATAAAATATCTAATCTAGACAGTGCCTTGGATACAGGGGCACTGCATGCGCTCTTGGGCTTGTCAGAGAAACAGAGTGGTGGAAGTGATGGACTGTCAGAACAGGTTGTCCTGGTTGCTGAACATATCAGTGATCTGGGCTTGTTTCTGCACCCGAGGCAGCTCCCATGGGAGCACCAGGCAGCCAGTCCAGAGCCTGGACAAAGAGAAGTGTTTGAGTCTTATCTTAGCCAACAGTTACAGGCAGAATGGATGGAATGAGATGCAAACTAGAGTCAAAGAGGAGACAGAAATCAAGAAATCATTCAAGCCCCTGTTGAGAAGGCTATTTAAGATTAATTCAATGTTAGCTTACCAGCACATAAATCACAAGAAATTCCATTAAGAGATATTAAAATAAGGTTTTGTTAGCTCAAACCTCCAAACCAACCCAGATGACTCCATGCGATAATTTGTCCAGCACTCCAGTGCCAGTCCACCACCATCCCAAAGTCCTTTTGCTCCTGGGAGCTTGATGCCACAGTGAGAAGCAATCTGTGTGCCTGCAATGAGCCCTGGCACCAGTGTCTGCTTCCTTATAGCATCTTTCCTGCTCACTTCTTCATAGCATACCCCAAATATTCTTACTTTAGTAGCAGTACATAACTGGGATGATCTCACTTCTCTCAAAGGCAGTACAATCCAGTGATTTGAGCACAGAACTGGAAGTCATCAAGTCCTGTATTCTGAATTTTTCACTCTGTGACCTTGGGATAAGTTATTTAGCCTCTCTTTGCCATTAGTAAGATGGGGAGGACAATATGGCAGTCATTTTATTAATGACAACCCAGTGGGTGAATGGCTTATCGTCTCAACCAAGTGCTGCTGTTTAAAAAAAGAGGCCATTTAAAAATAAATGCAAAAAATAACAGCCAGTCTAGAATGCATCTTGGGAAGAAAAGGAAGGAAGGATGTTCACAACAGCTCATCTTTTATTCTAGATTCCTGTAATCTTTATTTGTTTCCTTTCGACAGAGACTACGTAAGTAGTTAAACTCTACTTAACACCTGGTAAAACACTGCAGTGCAGCTGGCATTGACAGACTCCAAATTAGGTGGAAATTCATGATATTATCCCGGTGGAGCATCAATAACTGTCATGCTGTTCTGTATTAAATCTTCTCTAAATGTGTTAGCCCTACTAAAATGATCCAATTTCCACCAACTTCACAAGGAGCTTTTCCCTTCGCTTAGATGAGTCTGGGATCTGGCTCAGCTACAATATTTACCTTGCAAGAATATTTTCTGGATTAATGTTTGTGCATGGAAGCAGACTGCTGTACTGGCACTGCTCCCTACAGTTTTCCTTCATAAACGATCAGTGGCAGTCAGTGGGAGCCAGACTCCAAATCCCTTGGGGCCCTTCTATTGATACAATCTTTGGGTTCTTCAATGCTTCAAATCAGTCCATGCTGTGCAATGCATGTGTGGGCATAGGAAAACAAGACACGAGAGTGGTCACACCATTTAAACACTTGTAGAAATACTGACTATGCAGTCAAAAAGTCAGTAAGTTGTACATACCTACGTGCAGTGCTATGTGCTTGTATAAACACATCAGTCTGGCAGAACTGACACAACTAAGAGTATTTATAGAATATTCACATTAAAAATACTGGAAGTCAGTTTGCAGTTGGTATTTATAATTAGCCAGCAACAAACATCAGCAAACTCAATTCAGACTGTAAATCAGATTTGTCAGGGCAGTCTCAGTTTCAGTGACTTCCCTTTCTTCTCAATCATTTTAGTGTATTACTGGCAGCTCAATTGCACAGAGCAAGACCTGGCTCATATCAGGATCATTCAGAGAGCCAGCAACATAAAAAAAAGAATCCATAAGTAGGTAACGGATCCAGGAGGTTAATTTAGGTCCTGTTCAGTAATACAAGAAAAAGGGGGCTAACTTCCCCCATGCCAGAGAACCTGTAAGCTCATAGATACAGCTGGAGATGTCCTTATTACCAGCTCTAGGTGATCTGAGCACAAGAAGCCATTGGTAGAGGTCAGTACCTTACCACTCAGATTCTTTCAGTTATCTGCTGACAAAACGCAACCAAATCTCCTGGTTTTATAACACATCTCACGATTTTTGGCAGCTTCCTTAAAGGAATTCTGCCATTTCTTAAGACTCTGTTTTTGCATTGCTTTTCTATTATTTTGTTTTTAAAGTAAATTTGTAACTATCGGGAATGTGCTAAAAAGCTTGGAAACCAAGATAAATCTGTAATTTCGACAGTAGAAAGCAAACAGATCCATCGTACATCATTTTAAATCACTCCCACAGTTTCTGAACTCCTTGGGTTGCAGCTCTGTGGGCGGTGTGGGGTAGCAATAGCTTTTTTAGCATGCACACTTGTGATCTGAAATAACATCTGCTCCCCTTTCCTCCCAGCAATGGTATTTATAGTCTTTCCCATCTTTTCCTTATCAGATTGCTTCCTTCACACATCTACACTTTTACCCCCTCATTTTCTTTAAGTATGACTCCCATCTCTCTTGCACTTTCCCTACTCCCAGCCTCTTTCAGACCAAGTACATGCAGAGCACAGGGAGATAAGCCTGCGGCCACAAGTAAACAGAAAGGGATGGAAGAAAGGTGAGCTGTAGGGCACTCTGCTTTGCTCCTGACTCCTTTGCTGAGGAACTGGGAATTAAAAGAAGCTGATGAGAATTAATTGATGGTTGGATTAGATGATCTTAGCAGTCTTTCCCAACCTTAATGATGCTATGAATATTTCAAAGTTTCCATTTGATCTCCATATTCTTTTCTCCTTTAAATACAAAGACCAAACTAAAGAGCTTGTTGGCAAGAGGAAGTTAGAGAAATCTAAAGGAAGGCATGAATTTACAATATGCTCAGTCCTGATCACAGTAGGGCACAGAAAGTCAGCAAACTCCATTTTGAGGAAAGCACACTGTACAAAGATATTAGATTCCCAAACGGAGATGTTCAGAACTGAACAACATTGTTTCAGTGCTCCTCCTACCAAAGGCCAAGAGCGGGGATGCCATCAATAACCTCACACTCACAGCATATTCAAGTGTGGTTATGTCTGATGAGAGGGAGGCACTGAAAAATGCAGGAAACCAGATAAAAGCTCTATGTGCTTACATTTTTTAAAATCTCACTACAACCCACTTGTACCTTTATGTACATCATCCTGCACAAATGACTAAATGTTGCCTCTGCACACAATTATTTCCTTTGCAGGAGTGCTGCAGTAATTGCTCAGAGGTTCACAGGGCTCAGCTGGAGGGAAGGGCAGCAGATGCTCATCATTATGACCCACTACCTGGAGAAACCTGGCACTCACTATTCATGGAAGCTGGCAGGACAGGTACCTTGTTCTTGACAGGTGCAATGGCAATTCAAAATAGCTTTTATATTCACAGAACAGAGCTGGGCAAGAACACCTTGCAAAGAGCACAGATCCACCGGTTTGGCAAGACTGCCCAGAGCAGTCTCCGATGCAAACTGCATGAGAATAATTATTGGAAGACAGATAAAATTAGGTGATAATTCTCTCATTAAGTTGTGTTAAAAGAGAGAGCTCCACTGTGTTTCCCATTACATGAGCAGAGCAATCTTTATCCTATTTAATCAGCTGTGCATCCATACTAATTCAAGCAGGGATATCTTTTAAAGGCATACATTTTTAGACACTCTAAAGCAACACTTAATCATTGCCTTTTCTAGCATTCAATGCTTACGCATTTGTTTTAAGGCTTTTTGGAAGGAAAGTCAGCTTTGATGAAGATGTTTCAGAAAGTTCAGCCTCTCCCCTCCACTACATTCAACTTCTTATTGTGAAGACAGCAACTTAAATCCAACATGCCAGCATGACACAGGGATGGCAACTGGAATCACATCAGTCAGGAGAGCTGCTCCAAGGAGAAGGATGCTGCGCAGCGCTGTACCCTCAACTGCCAGCCCCAGCGAGTGCAAGGACAACTGACACCTCCCAGCTCAGAAGCTGGGAAGTCTCAGAAGCTCTTCCTACTATATCACCTCTACTGCCAGCTGAGGGTAAAAGATAATACATAAACAAATTAAAAATCTACAAGAAAGATTATCAGAGAAAAGAAAAAGGGAGGGGGGGGAGGGAGGGAAGGGGCATCCATCAGTCCATCAGTTTTCTGTTACCTCGTGGAAAAACTCCAGGGTCCATGAAAGTAGCCATGCTGAAGTTTGCCAGCACAAACAAGAACACGAGCCCATTGTACACCGGGATGGCTGGGGAGATGGCTTTTGTCAGCCAGGGGCACCTGTGGAGGAGAACAGTTACAGGTGAGGGCTCTTTTGGCTGTATCGAGCAGTTTCTTCCCATTTGCCACCATCACAAAGGTAGTCTCATCCACTCTCCACCAGCCATTCAGCCAGATTCACAATTTAACAACAGAAATTTCAATTGCCAGTTTCAGCAATTTTCAGTACACTGCAGCCACCCTTTGTAAAGACGCTTTGTTCCAGAGCACAGAAAGCTCCAGCTGCTCACGTGGCTTGTGGGGCTTTGCAACCCTATTGCTTTATTTGCAACCTGGCATTTTGCTTCTCTGTGTAAAAGCTGCGTTCAATTGTTGCATTTCTGTTTATCGTGTACACTGCCTGGTTACAGACAGTGCCCAGTTCTCATTTGGCAGAAAGCAGAACAGGATTCTTACACCCTTGATCACCACAGCAGGTACAATGCAAAAGCCATTCACATCCCACAGAATCTTCCTGAGTGGTTTCCAACTCTAAATAACAAGCAAAACCAACACTGCAAAACCTCTCCCTGGTGGGAATTTGGACAGAGCATGAGCTCTGCCAGTGGCTGCAGAACTTGGGAATGCTGAAAAGAAAGGGAATGGCAACTGCCATGAGAGTACTGCTCCAAAACACTGACAGACACAGCACACTCAGCACATGTAACAGGGGAGGACAAAAAAGACAAGGAGAGAAACAAGGGGACTTTGGAAAGAGCTTGGAGAAATGCCTGTTACTTACAGGACAGTTGCTCTAACCGCAAAGATCATTTCCCATTGCAGAGGAGGGCTGGACCAAGACAGGCAACCGGGTCCAATAAAACGCAGCGTTTACTCACTCAGCCATTTACAGCCTCTCTAAAGCTCACTGCTAAGCATTACAGCAATCTTATTTCTCTTTCAGTTCCTGCCTGCCCTGCCAGCAGGGAGCCTGGCAAACTGCTCAAGCCAGTCAGCAGCAGCACCTTGCCACCATTTACATAAACCGAGCATTAACACACGCATTCCGGATCACATTTTGCCTGAGTTATATCTACAGCTGAATCGGGCTGTCTGCCAGCCTGAAGCCTGCAGAGAGAAAAAAAAACACCAATGCACACCCAACATTCTCCCAAATCTAATTCGCACTGCTTGTGCTACTGATGTGCTGTTTTGAACAGCTGAGAATGGTGTTACTGACTTTGAAGAGACATTTTTAAACACGTGTGCTCTTGTGGCCAGCATTAGAAGGACAGCACATTTTCTCCCATTTCTTTGTGAGCAGGCAAGAGACTTTTTCTTCCACATAGCTGCTAATTCACAGAAAGATTACATGAGAGACTCCCTCAGATGATTAATGTAAGGATGAGTTAATGTTCCCATTTGTTATTCCCTTTGTCATGTTCCCAACAAATACATCAAAATACTATGAAAAACCTGAGCCATAAGCTAAACTAAACAGCTCATTTAATGGGTAAACACTGTGTGTGAAAATACTTCATGGAAGCTGAAATGAAGGATAGAGTGAGTCACTGTACATACTAGCCAGAAGGTCTGCGCACCATCCTTCCCTTTTTTCTTCCCAGAATGTTTATGCAGTATTAGATATTACATAAAATTTTAGATGGGTCAGAAGAGGCCTCATTTGTAAACTGGGCTGATCGATAAAAACAGATGTGAGATCAAGTCCTGACTCATAACTGCAAAATGGTCTGAAAGAGAAAATCAAACTGCTAACAGGACTCACAAAACATGATGCATCCTCTCTATCCTTCTCATCTAATGCACACACAGTTTTAGCCGAAGTAACAAAAATTGTAATCCACGTCTGGCAGGCTGGTTTAATTGCTAACCCATCAGGCAAAACTGGCATCTGCCCTTCTGCACTCTGCAGAAATGTCCAGACAGGCCCTGCAGTGAGCCTACGTTGTGCATTTCCTCCTTTGGGAGAGCTGCTTCCAGCAGCAATAACGCTCATCTCTGGGACACACCTAGATGAACTTTTCATAGGCTTTACTTAATGGAAGCTGTTATGAATTCAGATAAACGCCACACGGATTCAAAGCTTTCTTCAGTTTGCTGGCGAATCCAAGGTTTCAACAGGCTGTGGTCTTTGTGTCACCAACTCATCTCACCATGGAATCACACAGCCAAAGAAACAGCCCTTGCACTTTATGATCAGCTGCAGAACTGCAGTCATTGCAGAACTCAAAGGAAAAGCCCATGAAAAAGTTAAGTGAAGGGAGCAGCACGGGGTGTGCAGGGACTTGCCTGTGTCCCAGCAGCTACACCTGCCTCACCAGGTGCATCTACGGCTCCAAAGACACGCTGCTCCACACAGGCGGTGCTCCTCACCCCGCCACCAACAACCACCTTCCAGGTAACCACACCAGCACTTCTCAAAGGCACTGCACTGCCGATGCTCTAAGTTAATTTAGATCCCACAATGGAACCAGGAGCCCTGATGGATAACAGTGCGATTCCAGCCATGCTGCTTTGCACTACTTCCATAAGCATGCAGGACAGAAACCTTCCATGGTTTTGTTTACGGCTGAAACGAAGTGCCAGCATGTGCTGCCCTGGCACATTGCGGATAATTACAGATCTCAAGTTCTTCTGAACGAAGCACACAATTACACAGGCAGCATTTTCCTCATAATTATACTTCTTCAACAGAGTGAATCTGCTCGTAACTCAGAGGAGAGTAATTTGGGGTGGCAGACTTAATCTCATTTATCCTATTTGCTCTTGAAACCCTACCCTAATAAAACAGAAAGTTAAAAAGATTAACAAATAAGATCACAGAACTTGATAGGTGTCAGACCAATTCATGCATCATCAACTGCCTTCCTTGCTAAATTAAACAATAATCCTTTCTGCTCTTTTACTGGGTGCTCCTGAGCAGCCAAAGGCATGGAGCAGAATGTGCAGCAGGAGTCTAAGGTCTCCTCTTCATAGCAGAGCGATGGTATGATCTGCCTTGGTAGGGGATGAGGAAGATGTGGGAACCTCAAGCATACAGACATCCAAACTTGGGATACTCACACCTAATAAGAAGTCTCTAAGGACTGCTCATTTAACTGTTCAGCAGCACCTGATAAATGACTTCAGTATGCTGGTATGCAACAAAACAATGTCCACTCGAATCACAAGGCACGGGCTCATAGCGTGAAAAATAAAGCACCTTCTAACTCAAATCACCTTCCTGTACTATTAGGGTAGTGACAACAGTAATACAAACTCACTGATTGACTGCATGCAAGTAGAACTGGAGACTAATTAGGTATGAGGGGGCAACAGGCAAACATAATTTGTCTAAGCACTAGTACCAGTCTCACTGAAAACTTTCTGAGTCCTTACATCTGCAGCAGCCTGCCGCTGCTCAATACCTCTCTAGGAGCTTCTGGCCAAACCCTGACGGCAAGGAGCATCTACACATTTGCACATGTAAAATCTGTGTAAGGGATTTCTTATCACTGCCACATCTGGGCAAAGGCTTAACAAACATACGGTGCTGCAGTGCCCATTGCAGCTGTGTACGTGGGACAGAGGTGCACGGCTGCACCCTGCGACCACAGCTGGAGCTCAGGGCACCCCGTGGTGGAGGGCAGCGCTCGCAGCCTTCAGCAGTGGAAATCTGACACATCTCTCATGCGCTCCGTTCCAGGAGTGTTCTTTTTATTTTCTTCCATTTATATGTTCTCTCCTTCCCTGAAATCACAGAAAGTACCTTTGTGGAAAAGTCACAGAAAAAAAATGCTTGCTTTCCATTGTTGCTCACTGCCAAAGATAGCTGGGAGATTATTGCACATCTAAAAATATTTTGCAAGGTGCTAAGTCAGTCAGGGCTAAAATGGCATCGCTGGAAACTGTCAGCAGAGAACGTATCTGAGTATCATAACCAACAGGAAAGAGATGGGCAGGTTGTGGGATAGCTCAGGCCACCAGCTCACTGCTCAGTTCTGCCACAGCAGATTTTGATAAATCATCTGATTGCTGTGCTGTGTCTTACTCATTGGCAAGACTGCAGCTAATACACTGTTGCCATAGCACTACACCCTCGCTGCGACTACAGCAGTTGTACTGATAGAAAGTGATATTAAAGGATAACAACTCGGAATGTTACATAAAAAGGGGAAAAAGAGAAATAAATACTGGAGACTTTACCACTGAGAAGCAGAAACTGATGAGAGGAGTGCCACATGGAGCAGCTCATGCTGGTAATGAGTGGGAGATGGAAAAACATCCACTCTGGGTTGCCAGATGATGCAGTTATCCATCGCAGGAAGCCATAAGAAGACCCATAAAAAACACTATGAGCCCATTCCTTGTGAAATATGGCTGAGTGAAGCCACAGGTTCAAATCCATCAGCTGCTTAACTGTTTAATTATTCACAAGAAATGTGCTGGGCTGAAATTCACTCAGGTTTAACAAAAGCTGATGAGGTTTCAGCTAACTTTCCATTACACCCTGGACTCAGTCCAAAGGTGAGTGGTTCATGTCTGGCAAAGTACAGATCAGAGGAGCTAAATCAATTAAAAATTCAACTTGAGATATAATGGTTCTTGGTAAGAAGTCTTATCTGGGCTATACTCCCAAAATAAAATATACTCTACCTTTTCCACAAAGCTACTTGAAAGCTCTGGAGCATGTTCCTTTTCTCCCTTTTTAAGTGTCTCTGAATATCTAAGAAAAGACATTACTGTCATGTGAACTGATGAGGAAGAAATACAGAATAGGAACAATACCAATAGCCAACACTGAGTGACATGACCATAGGGACAACCATAACACCATCATCTTCAAGTCCAGAAGCCATACAATGATCTCAGCAGAGACAGATGGACCCAGCAGTCTGGACACGTTCTTACAAGGTACAAATCCAAAGTGACTTTACAGCACAAAGCTGCTCTTTCCAATGCTGGGGCCATTAGAGAGCCTTGTACAAAGGAGGAGAACAAAAATCCTGCGAGGCCGTTACGTTTCTGCCATGACTTGAGAGAGCTGTTCAGGAAATGTACAGCTAATTAAGACCAGAGGC